TCATAGAACCTCCTGAAGATTTATAATGATGGTGCTTTCCTCACCTCCTCAGGGAGCCTGTTCCAGAGAGTAGTGGGAAAGGCTCTGGCTGATGCCAGGCAGGGCATCTTAAGTGGGGGAACAGCCAGTATGTGGCAAGCTGAAGATCATATTTGGCACACAGGGACATATGGGAGACAATCCTTTAGACATGAAGGTCCTGTGCCATGAAGTGCTTTAAATGTCAGAACCAGCACCTTGAACTGGACTCTGAAACAAGCTGCCAGCCAAAGTAGCTGTTTTAAGATGGGTAAAAGATATTCCCACTGGGTAGCCAGTGACAATAATTGGGCTGCCATAGTCTGAACCAACTGCAATTTCTAGGTTTTCTTCAAGGCCAGCCCAACACAGAATGTGTTACAGTTATCCAGCCATGAGGTTACATTTGCCTCTGAAGGCAGGGATACCCAGAAAATAGTCTCTAATTATGACATCCAGGGTTGTATACACAGGGAGTATATATTTAGAACTGATTATTTTAGATATCTAAAGATTGAAGGTCAAAGAAGACAGGGACGGCAAAGGATGAGATGGTTAGACAGTGTCATAGATGCAACGAACATGAAGTTGAGCAAACTTCAGAGGACGGCAGAAGACCGGAAGGCCTGGCGTGATCTGGTCCATTGGGTCGCGAAGAGTCGGACTCAACTGTGCGACTGAACAACAACAATACCCCACTTTCCTCCCCAATGGGGACCCAAAGCAGCTTCCAACCTCCTTCCCCCTTCCTGTATTTTACCTCCATAGCAACTACACTGTGAAGTAAGTTAGGCTGAGAGAGAGTGTGACTAGGAAAAAGGTCACCCAGAGAAAGCTTCCATGACTGAGTGGGGATTCAATCTTGGATCTCTCAGATCCCACTCTAACCACTACACCATAATGGTTAATATGGATGCTCCAACAGAGTAAAAAGGCCTCTCCATCTCTACTTTTCCACAGATAACAAATAACCAAATTTAGCTCACTTCCTGCCAATCTCCCAGGAAATATAAGACAGCTACCCATATGGATGTTTTAAAAAAAGGATATTAGCACATGCCCAGCTAAATTAAGATATAAATTATGACTTCATGTTCTGATGTATCTTCACCCTTGAGCATCTTGAAAGCTGACAGTGTGATAAAATGATGGATACCAAAGTAGCTCACCAGATTGTGTAAGAGGGGGGGGGGTCATCTAATACAAATGAGATACAAAACAAGTACGTATTTCAAGCACATGGGGCAGGAAGAGAAATAGCAGGTTGGGTACAGTTCCAGGTACAAAATGCTATTTGTTTTGAATTTTAAAAGTCTGAGGAACATGACTTAGGTTACCATGACTATCTACCATGATGTGGGAGAAGGGGGAAAGGAGATATTTTACCTCATCTTTTGAAGTGCTTCACAATTTCTGGGACAATGGTATTTATCAGTGCTGTCGCACAGTTAAAGAAATCTCACTGTAGTTAATCACATAGTGCGTTCCCATAGGTTAGTCATGAACTCTAGATAAAGAAACAAATTCTGAAGGAAAAAGCATACTTTGGGCTTAAGCAGTGCCTGATGCAACACATGGGCATTATTTTTGAGAGAAGGGGGAAATGGCTTCTCTAATGTAGCAGCTGCATGCAACCATTTCTGTGAATTGTTTCATAAAAATCGCTTCCCAATTAATTGAGCACCTTTATTACTTATCTAACCAAGTCATCACAGGTCTAATTCTCATACATGCCAATAGTACACCTCTTCCTTGCAATCTGAACTCCTGTCAACAGCTTGGGAGTTTTTAAATGTGTGTGACCCTGGTTTGTAATTCTACAGGAAGACAGATTTTACAGCCACATTTCAAAAGGCATATACTGTTGATGTCTTCCCAAGCAGAGAATTCTACATGAAGCGGTTTACTGTTACTATATCCAACTTTACAGCCCTGAACCACATAAACTCGGAACTACCTAAAGGGGTCTATGAAGACCTTAATGACATAAAAAAATTAAAAGGCATGCATGAAAACAAACAGTGCTTTGCTCAAGGCCAGACAATGAACTTCACAGCAGGGTAAGAATTTGAAACTGGGTCACCACCAATTTCACCAGTACCTTCCACACTGTATAATACAACCATATGGGGTTATTACCATTTTTGCATAATTCATAGCCTGCCTCTCTCAAACAGCACAAAATAGTACAATATCCAGGGATGTGAGGATGCAACCAGCATCACTATTACCCCATTAATCTTAGAGTACCAGATCACACTAACCGCCTCAATAGGAAAAATTGCTTGGAATACAACAACCATACCTCATGGAACAAGCAGGAAAGTAATTCAGGGTATCAGTATCCTCCCCCCTCCCCAATAACTTTAGCTCTGTTAAGCACACAGCTTTCTCTGTGGTGAAAGATTGGACATGTAGGTGCAGAATTACAACCCTTAAACTACTAAAATTACAGGCAAAGCTCAAATCTGAACTAGGAAAACACTTGAATTTATTTATGTGATTCATAGTCCCCCTGCTTCACTTGGACTCAAGGCGGATTACACAGAGTGAGTCAATACAATCGACAAGACGGGACATTCAATAAACAATGCAACAGGATTAGGGTCACAGGACACAGAAGTCTAAAACAGAACTGAAGGAAAGCATAAGTATTAACACGGCACAGTAAATGATGCAGGATTTCCATAGTGGGATCCTAGTTTCAGCAAGCTATACAGAGCTGTATAATAACTAACAATCCCAAATCATTCTTTCCAAGTAAACTTTGTGAATCGTTTAGTACACATCAGGTCTAGAATGCAGAACAGGTTCCATCCAAGAAAGCCCCACACAACATTCTACCGCGCCATCTCTTTGCATGCTGAGCTGTGTTTATGTTCATTGCCTCACATATCATACACAATTTTTAAAAAGCACGAACACTATGGATAGCTCAACAGCTGTACCAAAACTCTGCACCAAATCTTAAGTGGCACAGCAGGGACACAATGATGACATTTGGAACAGGCTCCACACAACAGCAGGGCACCAATCCATGGGAGAAGAGCACCTCTATTTTTAGGAAACTGCCCAACAGTTTTCAGGCTCGGCACAGGTAATTTCCTTTTTGCAGTTCCTTCCAGGCAGAGACAAAGATTTCAAAGGAATATTTCAGAGCAGAGAAATTGAGGACATCCTCTAATTCATCTGTATTCCTGTTGGAAACCGTTACAAAAAGGAAAGCACCCTTGAACAGGTGCTGCAGACCTCAACCCTCACTGGGCTCATTTCCAAAACACAAAGCTAGTCTGCTACAATACCTTTGGACAGTTGCCTTGTACTTCCAGAGTCAGAATTTTATATTTTTATAATCTGTATTGATGGTAAATGAGTGGTGTTCTTCAAGTGTGATGTAGGCAGTATCTAAAAAACTCTGTTTAGGCAGATTTAAATGCTTCCATAAGACCACTACTCCATGAACAGCACCAGAGGGCCTCCCCATACCCCCTTTTATACCCCTCTGTTTCCAGCTTTCCAACAAGGATTGCCTCACTTTCCCCATTCCTTTGCCTTTACTTTCTAGGAAGGCAGACCACAGCCACCAAGAAGTTGGAGCACCATGAAGACTAACAAATTTATCATGGCATAAAGGTTTCGTGGATTAGAGCCCGTGACGTGCTCTTCTCAGCTGGAAAGTATCCATTATCACCAGGTTTTCTGCAGCAACATTAACACCTCACTTCTGTTTCAGGCCTTTGGCCGTGACTCCATTAACTTTTGACCTGCCTTGCCAGAAATAATCAAAGCTAGCAAGAAAGAAAGAGACAGGCTGGGCAGCTCTTCCTTCCCTTCAATATGGAACAAGGAATCAGAATTGCTTTTAATGCACTTCCTCCGAAACTGCTTGGAGACTCTGCCCTCTGATTGTCTTCACACCCAAGCTCTCAGTGGCCCCCTGACTCTGTGTGTGTCTGTCTCTCCTCCTCCTCCATTAACAGAGAATCAATTTCCTTTACGTAATGGATTGGTCACAAATAGGGTTAGTTCAGGAGAGCTCGCGTATTGACCCAACTCTACTGCAGTGAACACTATTTACACCCATTGTTCCCTCTACACATACGAGGACCGATTTCTGAAATATCTCCTGGTACCAAAGTCTCCATAGTAAAAGAGAGTGGTAGACAGCAAGAAATCAAAGGTCTTTTTAAAAACAGCATAAATACAGCAAACTGCTCGGGAGTGTGCAAAGAAGCATTCAAAGCACAAACAGGGAAAATGCAACACAGACACAACATCGCGATGAAACATGTTTCATTCTGACCACTGCAGCCCAAGTAGCTAAACAATTTTTTAAAGCTTGGGAAGGGTGAATCAAGATAAGATCAGCAACGCAGCCAGTTTCAAGCAAACGCTTTATCCTAATCCCTGTAGATCCTGGAGACTTCTGCAGCGGGTGAAGTATACAGTTCCCTTCTCCCGCTGTTTCTCCGGCACAATAAGGCCACTCTGTGCCTCCACTCATTGTGTAATCCTCCTCCCCAACTACATTGCTGCTAGGACTTGCATTACAGCCTTCTACAGGCCCTGGAAGTCGCATCAGCTCTTCAGCACTTCGTGGGGGTTGGGGAAGTGGTTCACACCTTACAACTAACGCCTATTTGGAGATGGCAGAAATATTAAGGCATTGTTTTTGAAGGCACTGTGGGAGAGACGGAGCAGCATGAAACTAATAAAAAGCGAATACAGAACGTTCTCTGGGACGTTCTCTGCAGGAACGAGCCCATATATACAAAACCCTCCTTCTAGGGATCATTCCTTGTATTTCACTCTAGGCGCACTGGAACATCTCATGTTTGCTTTCTGCTGGCCTGATTTTACCGATGCAGGCAGCAGACCTCGGCACACGTATCAAGGAGGAGAGAAATCACATCTGTCTCTATTGCTCTAAGGAGGACATTTAAAACACCATAAAAGAAGCCCACGTCCCACATTGCACTTACCCAGAAAATGACATTGAAGCCAAATATGAAATATTTGATGCAACAACTGACTTCAGGGCCCTTATAATGCTTCCCGGACATCCTTGGGGTTCATGAAGACACTTTACTTGCCGCCAGATTTGGGGAGGGGGGTTTAAAATTGAAGGGGAGGGCAGAAGAGACTCGGCGGCAGCGAATGAAAGGATGCAGGAGGATCAGGCAGGCGGGCTGGCTGGCTGGGTGGGCGGCTGGCGGGCGAGGACAGCTCAGAGGCAGCGACGCGGAGGATGCAGCCAAGCCCTGCAGCCCCCCTCGGCTCACGGCTGCCCGGAGCGCGCAGGCAGCCCGTGCCGGAGACGCAGCTGCAGCTCCCGCCGCCGCCGCCACCTCCTCCTCCTCGTCCTCCTGCCTCCGCACATCTAGGAGGAAGAGGCCGAGCTGCTGCTACTGCAGCAGGGAAGCCCGGGCCGCCGCCCCCCCCCCGTCTTCCCCCCCTCCTCTTTCTCGTTCTCTCTCGCCCTGCTGGCGGCGGGATGTTGCCGGCGCTGCCCGGAGGGGATGCTTCCAGCGCAGGCTGGTCCCCGCAGGAGCCGCGAGCTTCCCCCGCCCCCCTCCACTTTGACACAGCAGAGCCGCCGCCTCCTGGCAGAGCAGGGCGGAGCCGCGCGCCGGCGCCGCGATAGGCGAAGAGGAACGCCGCCGCCGACTGGCCGCCGACTGGCTCAGCCGGCTTATTGATGGTTGGCCTCTCCAATCTAGAGCTGCCGCCCGCCGTCGCCCGGGAAGGAGGGCGGGCAAAAGACCCGCTCCTGCTTCTTACAGCTGAGCGCCAGCCAGTAGCGCACGGATCTGTCCCCCCCTCCCCTTCACCGGTTCACACGCTCCCCCCCCCCTCCACCACGCTCCAGCACCATGGGGGATCCGCTTGCTGCCAGAGTCGTTAGGCCCCGGGGGAGACGCGGGGCTCCTTCCATACTCCCTTCCTGCATGCTGAGCTGGGCAAAGCCGGCTTCGCGGCAGCATCTGGCCCCGCAGAAAGCAGCATGGCTCCCGGGTTCGCCTCGGGCGCGTGCTGGAGCCTGGAGGGGAAACGGGACGACGAGGCGGGATTGCAACAAAGGGCTGCGTGGCCCCCGCCAAAGGAGCCGGCCCGTGGGTCGATTAAAGCTGCAGGCATTTACGTAAGGAAAAGCGGTGGTCGAAAGGGAAAATGAGGGACTTTTTTGTTTGTTTGGAACATACCAAAAAAAACACAACCCAACCCGCACACCGTGCTTTCTGAAGTCGGTGGTGCAGCAAACGTCGATTTGGAAGAGCCATTCCCTTTTCCCTCCAAAAGAGGAGGGAATGCCTCTTTCAAAGATGGCGCCGTTTTAGCAATTTCCTTATTTTTAAAAAATAAAAATCCTTTTTAAAAAATTGGCCTGTTGATTTTAGTCTATCGAAATGTTTTTGATTGATCTATCAAGTAAACTGCAGCCCTAACGGATAAATTATGATATATTTATTTATATATACTGCTCATGACCTGCAAAGAATTGCTACTGGACTTATGTTCATGGAAGAGGAGTTTTCCTGCGCCCTTCGCTCCCCCTTCTGTAGCAATGAAGTCAGAGGAAGTCCTGTAGGAATGGCAAGTGCCCTTATTGCCCCTATGGCAGATGATGGGATATGGTTGTCTCTGGGTGCGTTCAGACGGGGCATTTATGCCGGTATAGATGCCAGTTGGAATCGGTGTACTTACGGGCGATCACACAGCGAACATCGGCCGGCCGGCCCTAACCATTGCAAACAGCCTTTAAACCGTTGTATTTTGCTACTAGGTCCCCAAGTGGTGGTATCCTGAGTGCACCGGTTCCAGCCGCAGTAACCCCATCTGATTGCTCTCCGCCAGTGTCTAGCCACTTCCATTCGGAAGCCTGAGGCTTCCGCTTTTCGGCCGCCATTTTTTTTTAGTAGGCGATGTGTGCTTGGGCGAAGCTTCGCCCCAGCGTTAATAAAACAAAACAAAAGTTCCTAGTGTAAGGCTTTAGAGGAGTCCAGGACCTCATGGAGGCCAGTTTCAGAGTAAAAATTTAAAGGGGCGTCTTCGCTTCAGGGTACGCATTTCGGGATGGGGTGTTCTGCACCTGCAGGAAGATCTCTGTGCATGGCTGCCTATGCACATGCGCAACATGTAAAAAAAAATTTTTTTAACTCCTATGTGTGAACGGGCATATGTGCTGCGCAGTCAGGAGGTGAGTGTGATCGCATTTCTTCCAGATCAAACTGCTCCGGTTCCAACCGGAGCAGTTTATGCCAGCTGAAACGGTGCATCTGAACGCACCCTCTGTCTCACAGTGGGGGTTAGGGTTGCCAACGTCCATGTGGGACCTGGAAATTTCCCGGTATAACAATAGATCCCCAGATTACAGATCTCAATTCCTCTGGAGAAAATGGCTGCTTTGGAGAGTGTACTCTAGGGCCCTGTACCCTGATGAGGTCTCTCCCCTCCCCAAACCCAGCCCTCCTCAGGCTCTACCCCTAAAATCTCCAGGCATTTCCCAACCGAGAACGGGCGACCCTGTGGGAGTCATGAGAATGGCAAGAGGCCAAACACACCAAGCTTCCTTATACGGAGTCAGGCCATGGATCTGTCAGGGTCAGTATTGTCTACTCTGCCTGGCAGTGGCTCGCTAGTTCACATCAGCTACTCCCTGATACTATTAAGTGAAGATACAGGGATTGAACCTGGAACCTTCTGCGTGGTAAGCTGATGCCACAGAGGGGAGGCTGCAGCTAGAGGGGGGGAAATTTCACAACAATGACAAGGTGTTGGAGTAGAAAAGAGCAAGAGTCCAGTATCACCTTAAAGACTAATAAAATTAGTGGCTGGGTATGAGCTTTTGTGAGTCACTGCTCACTTCTTCAGATCCGGCTAGAACCTTGTGCTTTGTTAGCTAACGTCCTCCACCTTTTTGATCAAAATCAGTTGGAACCATGTCTGCAGTCACTGCACAGCTGGCAAATAGAACACTGTCCTTGGCAAAGAGGGGAGGAAACATGCTTTCCTGCAGCAACTTCTTCTCTGGCTGATAGCTGGAGTTTTCTTCCCTTTACCGAGGTGCCATTTCTTGGATGCGGGGAAGGAGTACAGCCCTGCCATTTCTCCCATCTGCAGAAGGCAACTTCTCTTTCAACTTTTTGTTATATGAGATTGCTGTTGTATTAATTATTTTGTTGTGTTTTGGCATTGGTTGTGCAGTGGTTAGGTTCCATTTATGCTTTGGCCTTTGGTCAAAGAAAATAAATGTGAATGGTATGGATGAAATTTGAAGCAGGGATCTTCTAACCCTTCTTCAGTTTCTTTTTCTTTTGTATTTTTATATGCATGTGTGCATGCACCTGGAAGTCATGGTGACCTCTGGTGACTGACCCCTACTGGGGGCCTGGAGGATATGCAGAGAGGTGGCGGAGTAAATCCTGCTCCCACCTCTGGTATTTCAAGGAGGTCTCCCACCCAAGTACTTGCCAGAGTCGACTCTGCTTTGCTTCCAAGATTGGGCTTGCCTGGGCTATCCAGGTCAGCCTTCAGCTTCTTAACTAATATGATGAACTAGATTATTGGTCTTCACTGTGTCAGGATATACAAACAGTTCATAGCCTGGAGTACCAACGCTGGTGGTCAGAGTGCCAAACTAGGATCTGGGAAACCCAGGTTCGAATCCACTCTGCCATGGAAACTCACTGGATGACCTACAGCTATACATATGCTCTCAGCCTAGCCTACCTCACAGGGTTGTTGTGCTGAAGACAAAATGGAGGAGGCGAGACCAGTGTTGTAAGCTGCTTTGAATCCCCATTGGGAAGAAAAGCAGTGAGGGGCTGTGGCTCAGTGGTAGAGCATCTACTTGGCATGCGGAAGGTCACAGGCTCAGTTTCTCAGCGTCTCCAGGTTAAAAGGACCAAGCAGTAGGAGATGTGAAAGACCTCTACCTGAAACTGTAGAGAGCTGCGTAGACAATACTGACTTTGATGGACCGATGGTCCAATTCCATATAAGGAAAGCTGCATGTGTTCAAGTGGCTCATTTGTGATATTTTACAAGAAGGAGAGAGTAGGAACAGAAGGTGGGTGAAAGGCAAAGAAAAATCAAACGTAGCATATTGGGATTAAACATGAAACCATTGGATTAGTATAAAAAGGAAGGGGGTGGGTTTTATGAACTGGGAATAGATGACACATGTAGCTCTCCCCCACCCTTCTGCCAGCAGTCCCCTGAAACCTCCAAAAAGATAATGTATTTGTTTACATCATTTATAGCTTGCATTTCTCACTTGGACTCAAGGATTAGGGTTGTAGAACCAGTCAGAAATCTAGAAACAGAATTGAAGCAAACCCTAAGTCTTAACATGACACAAACATGACATAGTAGGGTCCTAGTTTCAGCAAGATAAACAGAACAGTATAGACCACAGTCCCTAATAATTGATCTAAGTAACTTTGTGAATCATTTAGTATAGTGCAACTCTAATTGGGGAGGGAGGGGGGTTACCATGAGCTTTGTGGACAAAATGCCCCAGACGTGGCAGCAAGGAAGAGGCACTTGGCAAAATCACTTCTCTCTTCTGCCAACAGATTCTCTTGGGCCAGCAGAAATTCCACTGGGTGATGAGCGAGAAGCAGCAGTTCCACCCAGTTCTCCCTCACCCCAAACTTCATGGCATTTTGTACCCGCTTTTGGAATGTCTCAGGGGGGCTGCTACAGGAAAGAGGGAAAGATCTTTGTTGGGATTCATGGCTCCTCCAACCCACAGTTTATTTATGACTATTGGCAGGCAGAATCCATTTATTCCACAGTGGTTTGCCACTCAGATCAGACATGTTCATGAAAAAAAAGGTTCTTTGGCATTGAGTGAATATGCTTGCTTTATGGCGACAGCGGCCACTTATTTGGTTGGTTGGCCTTTATTCCACTTTTCCTCCAAGGAGCTCAAGGCGGCATACGGTTATCCTCAGGACAACCCTGTGAGTTTGGTTAGGCTGAGGGTGAATGGATGGGCCAAGGTCACCTAGTAAGTCGCATGGCCAGCAAGGACTTGAAACCTGGGCCTCCCCAGTTCTTAACCAGCATTATAACCACTGCACCACACTGGCTCTCTTTGAATGTGGAGCTCTGTAAAGACACTTCACTTCTTATGCCATCAGCATAAAAGAGTTCTAAACTGATTGAATTCAAGATACCACCTGCCTCAGGAGTGGTCCTTTCCACCCCTACCCATTAGGGCAGGCCCCTGTAGATCCACTCCCTCTCATCACTTT